TGAACAATTTCAGGCATACTGGCCAGACTACTGTTGCTTGTGTTGCACACACAGAAGAGGCAGGGTTTTCTGGTGGCACTCATAAGTTCTTTTTATTAGTCACACTGTAAATTGGAATAAACACGATAAGAAATTAGAACAGATTTCCCCGTGTTTAACACGACTGGCAGTGCGACGATTTCATCAATGGATGAAACTCGCAGTCGCGTTAACTCACAACACATAGGGTCATCTACATACACACTAATTGAAACGCGATTATACGGTATCGTCTTAAATTCTGCAGCTCACATTAACATTCCAATCATCCGCCTACACGTAATAACATAGTGCTAACATACATTAACCGTATAACAATATATAACGTTTCCTTTCTATCGCCCTCTCTAAACCATAAACTTTCTTAACCAACATTATACTATTTAACAAACAATGACAAAATATCACGAAACACAAATGAAATGATAATCCATTACTCGGTTCGCTCCACAAATAATATCGAGCACATTACCGTGTCGAACGACATCCACCATCTCTGTTCTGCTACCACATGGCGCGAGCTAACTGGCCGCATTCCAACCATGACTGCGCTAATGCGATTAGATATCACCCGCGTGCCGCAACCAAACATATAAAATACACGACAAGCATTTAATAGACGTAACCCACGATGCCACATTACTTCTCTTACCTGTAAATTGGAATAAACACGATAAGAAATTAAAACAGATTTCCCCATGTTTAACAAGATTGGCAGTGCGACGATTTCATCAATGGATGAAACTCGCAGTCGCTCCCTCTAGCGTCACCCGCCTGTATATACAGGTCTACGTAATTACATAAGCATCATTCCATTTTATACAAACTTAAAGTTATGTTAGAATACTCATGTACTTAATAAACAATAACCAATAATAATAGACATAGACATGTATCATCTGGATTCATACCTCTACACTAGCAGTGGAAGACCACATGGACGGTAGAGCTGTGAGAGATGTGTACGCAAACACATATTTTGGTTGATTCTGTTGCAAATTTCATTTATTTTTATACAATTAGAGAAATTTCTTCATTTTTATTTAATCTTTCATATCCTGTTGGGGGAAAGGGGAAGCATTTACAACAGTGAACACTAAATGTAGACAATAAAGTGATGTTAACCACTTACATCTCTCTCCAATTTTTTAATTTCAAGCTTCAGTTTTTTTTATTTTCAGTTGTCAATATTCGAGGTCTGCTTTTCGGACTTCTATTTCCTGGATCAAATACCTCTTGTAAATAGCACGGATATCTGTCTCATTAGAAGGAAAAAATAATTATTCATTCATTCTTATTAATTACATTAAACAGTTTATTACTTTCCTTCTTCCTTTGACGGTCTTTGAGTACATGTGGGCTGTGCTGATGAGGGCTGAGA